GAATGTGGGGGGAGGGTGCAAAACAAATGCTGGGTAGGAAAACTGAGGACACTGAGGAAAAATAATTAGGCAAGATTCATAAGAGGATGCCTATATTAAGACCCATCTATTTCAAATAGCATCCGCTCTTCCTACAACTTCCATAAGTAGCTCTGTGTGCAGAGCAGCCGCGCTGGGTTCTCAGGACAGAAAAGGAACCCAGAAGTACATGGCAGGTGTGCCATCATTGCGGGACGGAAACAGACTATCAGAGTATGAACGAGCACACTGAGAAGGAAAATAACCATTAGCTGCTTCCCAGAGAAGTGATAAAGGAAAAATATAGACACGTGCCTGCTAATAGCCAACACTGCCTCCTTCATTCAGGAGCATCAGGATGGACTTGGACATCTGACCTGACCACTCTAGAAACATTTTTAGATCATCTGGTAGCAGGAGGTTTTTAGATTTTTCCCAGGAACAAAGATGATCTTTCACTTTGAGGTATATGGCATAAAAAATTCTGCAGCTCTCTCAATCAAATAAGGTTCCCAGTTGGAATAAATCTCTCTCAGCATGCCCTGCGCTATGGTAGGGCATTTTACTGTGTTTACTAATAAGGCATAAATGAATGCAACAAACTTCCAACAGAAAATTACTTATTAATATACAAACTAGAGTTGTCAGATTTAGCAAGTAAAAAGGCAATAGCTCTATTAAATTTAAATTTCAGATTTTAAAAAGGGGTTTTTTTGTATCAGTATGTCTCGTTCCATATTTGGGATGGACTTACATTAAAAAATATTCACTGCTTATCTGAAATTCAAATGTAACTGACCTGCACTTTTTGTGCAATTGCTGTAAAGTGCTTTCTGCAGAGAATTTTGAGCTTATCTGGAAATAATCACTAGGTCTCCAGCTGGCCAAGCTTCAAGGAGTTAAAAAGTTATCAGTAAGGAATTTGGATTACTACTTCATAAATAATCTTCAGTTGATAGTGATCTGAAGCAGTGCATTTTAAAGGTCCTCTCAGGACGCGTATATGCAATATGCAAAAAAAAATCTTCCTTTAGTTACTAAAAGTGAATCACTTTAATATGGTCTGTCTTTGAGATTCAAGGGTATCATATAGCCTCTTACCTTTATCCCCAAAATCTGGACTTATGAACTGCCCAGATATGGCAAGAAAGCCACAGTTTGGTCAGTAGAAATGAGTCCTACCTCGCCATATAATGAGAGGAGAAGTCTTTTTCCTGATTCCACATTCTTTCTGTCTCCTGTGGTTAGTGGGCTTCTAAAAATCTCTGAAGGAGCCTTCCTCCCTCCGCTGTTGCTGAGAGATGACAAGGAAGTCTTCCTCATAAAACAGCTAACCATTTGCAGCAATTTTATCTGCAAAGATTCCCTGCTGTGGCTAAATGGTGTGGTTGCTTGGTTTGTTATTTAAAAGAGTGACCCTAGCGAGCCCAGAGATCTGAAGAGGAAAGAGTCTGATTTCAGAGGAAAAGAAGTAGAAGGAGCTGGAAGGGAGGGTGTCCAATTGAATTCCACAGATGTCCCCAGAGTGTAGTGGCAGTGATGACATCTTTGCATTTGAAGAGGTACCCCCACTCATAACCCAAAGTCCTTCTGTGTCCTGAGAAAATAATGTACTAGAAATCCCCACTAGAAGCTAAGGATTGGAGTTCAGAGCCGTTGGAAGGTGCACTGGGCAGAGGCAGGAGGAAATGACAAGGGACATGAGTGAGGAATGCAGGGACAGCACACGGAGAGGGGACACATCCAAGTGAAGGTGTCCAGCAGGCAGGTAGATGCCCGCAGGAAATCAGAGAACCAGAACAGGAGAGACATTCCAATGCAAATCTCCTTTCTGGTGGAGAAGTAAGATGAAAAAGCCAAAGAAGCTGGACTCCTGCTCTGGCTAGCTCTCTCCTTTACTCTGGTGCCTAAGGCACGGACGGATAACCTGCTATGCTTCTTGCTTATTGCTTCTGGGTTCTACACTTGAGAAAATGGAGCTGGGCACGTGTGGCCATCTTGCCAGTAACTTCTATGGGAAGAGTGCAGAAGACTGAAGAGAGGCACTTTGCTGATGAGCCACTGAGTACCTCTCAGGCCTCTGAGAAAGGCGAACAAAGGTTAAAGAGGCATATGGTTAGAGACCAGGCTTCAGAGATAATGTTGTACTCCGATCAAAATGGTAACGATTCCTGCAGGTTGCTGCTGACTTAAATGATGCTTTAAGATAAACAAAGGTATTCCTGGACCATGTATATGGGCTTTAAGGTGACGGTTCCTTGATTCGTGTTGTTTTGGCAGACATTTTAATCCCAGTGTTCCTCCATGGCTAGATTTTGTTTTACATAGCAACATTTGAGGAAATAATCTGAATCAGATTTGAATTTAACACTAACAACCATGGGAGAAAGCAGGCATCTACAGAACTGATGCAGCTGTAAGTTTTTAAAGGTCTGTTCCGTGGAGCAGGTGTGCACTGATCTCGGAGAGTATCATTTATCCACTTCTCTGTGCCACACACTGTGCTGGGAATGAGGACAGAGAAATGAGAAAGGTAGGAAGGCCACTGCTATCCCAGAACTTGCAAGGAAGGGACATAATACAGCACAAAATTATCATTCGAGGAGCGGTTTTATTGGAAAAGTACAAGATGCATTGAAGGCGTATAACAGGCTAATGTTAGTCCAAGGCTCAGCAAAGACTTCATTAGAAGTGATGCCAAGACTGAAGCCTGGGGAGGAACAGCATGCGCTGGGTAAAGGACCACCTGCATGGATCTAGTAGTGAGAAGGGGTGTGCTGGGGAGCATGCTCAAGACAGACAAAGGGAAAAGCTGGAAGCGAGAGAGAATGCAGTATCTTCAGAAAACTAAAGTGAGTTCAATACTGCAGGAAGATGATATTCAAGCGAGAGACTAGCACCAGGCAATTTTGGAAAGGCAAGCAGGGCCCATGCTGTGGAAGACTTTATTAACTATGTTAAGGAGCTTGGCCTTTATGATAGGAACAATGAAAAGGTATTAAGCAGGCAAATGATGAAATCACATTTTCATTTTAGATCATTCTGGCTGCAGTGCAGATTGAAAAGAAGCAGAACTGAGTGCAGGGAGATAATTTAAGAGGCCCTGCAGCAATGCAGGTTAGGGAGAGATGGACTGGGTTAGATAGGGCAGGGGAAATGAAAACAAGCCAAAGCATTCCAGAGGAACTGAGAGACTAAAATCCATATAAAATGATATGGCTGATTATGAGGTGCCAGGGATACAGAATCAAGGACATCTTGGAAATTTTTGTATCAGGCAACCTGGTAACAGGATGTCATTGGAGGCAGTGTGTATTTGGCTAGGAGACAGTAGAAAAGTCTTGGGAGAAGGGTTGAACAGTTCAGCTTTAGATATGCTAAGTTCTGAGAACCGATGGCACCAAAGGGAACATATCTACTCATACTTAACAATACAAACTTGAGGTCCCAAGAAGGGAGTCTGGCCAGAGATGTCAACTTAAGGAATATATAGGTATTAATTATACCCTTGAAAATGATATGAAGAAGGTATCAGAGCGAACCTTGAGAAGCACCAATATTTAAGGATTTAAGGGGTGTGTAAAAAAAAGAGGAGTATGCTAAGGAGCCTGAGACAGAACTACTGGACAGGAAGAAGGAAAATCCACAGAATCTGCATCAAATAAGGGGTGACAGCTGGGAGTTGTGGAAGAGCAGAAAGCGCAAGGTAGAAGAGTATTAGGACTGGATCACTTAGACAGCCACGTTAAAACTGCTTTTAGTTTCAACCTTAAATTAAGAGCTGGGTCTACAGACTGTGGTCCAGCTCCCTGCAGAAGTTAAAACATATAAGCAGGCACCCACTGAAACCTCTACCAAATGTGTTTTAATATTCCCAGAGCACACTTTCCTAATAGTTTATTTCTGAAGCTAGGTATAGGGTAACTGGATATGTACTGTTTTTGTGAGTAGTTTTCTTCATGTCTAATATAGTTCAAAATAAAATTAAAATGAATGCCCAGAGCATATTGTTGAGTAAAAGAAAGTCAGGTATTGAACAGCAGGTATTTCCATTTATGTGAAATTTTAGATTGAGATCAGTATAGATATGCTATATGTACACAGCAAGGTGTCTAGAAAGATATTCACCACTTATTTCAGTAACGATTATTTGTGATTAGTTGGATTTAAGGTCATTTTAATTTTCTTCTTTGCATTCTATTTTGTTTTCAGTTTTTACAATGTGCCTGCATAGCAGTTTTCTACAAATAATAGAACCATAAAAACACAGTGTGGGATTTTCTACCCCACACAGTCAATTAATACCTCTACCAGGATGCACTCCGACCCTGGCTGAGCTGTAAGAAGTTTTGCTAACCAAACCAAACTAAGAGCAATAGTCTTACTCTTAAAGACATAGAATCTATAAGCAAAGGAGATAAAAACAAAGTCTGTTACTTTAAGGGAAAACACTTTTCATAGGTTAACAGGTCTATGTAACCTATTCTCCATTCTTTCCCAGTGCAGCAACATTCCAGAAGGAGGAGGACGTGTCACTTCTCGTCTTTAAGTCTAGTACATCTCTCTTAATGACGAAGGGCTCACGGATCAAAGAAGCCCGGGTGCAACTCCAGACAGATCCACTCACTTATAAAAACGCTGTAAACAATTTACACTTACAGCCTTATTCTCTTATATTGCAAAGTTGAAACCAACTAACAGAGGTTTTTGAGGAATAAATGAAGTCAGTCATGCAAAATACTTAGAGTAATATGGACCACACAGTAAGCACTTAGTAAGTGGGAGTTGTGTAGAACAGGAACACAGGACAGCGAGGTCTGGATCTGTAACACTCCCAGCATCACGACTAACTGCCATGCCCAAGGCCATCCCTCCATCAGCCGCCTTCCTGAGAGGCTCTTCACAATTTCTGAGTCCCCAACCCTAGTCTGTAAAGTGGTCCCCTGGTCTCCACCACCACATGCTCCCTGCTCCACACTCACCTATTGAGCATATTTGACTGGTAGATTCTCTTCTCATGGGTGTTATAACAACTGCTCTTGGGCTCCGGGATGAAGCTGTGCTCAGACAGCATGTCAGAAGCAGCGGTGGTGATTATTGCAATCCCGTCTCTCACTCTGGCAGGGAGGCCATAGTCCCATTCATCATATGATACAGAGATGAGGCCAGTAGGGAACTCTGAGGGCACCGTATCCGTATCCCCTGCCACCAGACTAGGCACAATCCATGTGTAGCCATAGCCAGTCAGCCCTACTGAGTTAGCCACTTCAAAGATGTAGGTGGCTTCTTCCTTGGTACAATAAAGAAGAATAATGGGGCTTTGAAGTTTCTTGAGCTGGTTCTGGATTTTAGAATCTCCATCATCCAGGGACATGTCCAGTAAGAGGACTTCCTCTAGCTCCCAGCCCACGAAGCTATTCTCTATGGTGCTGCGGATCTTGTTTACAAAGTCCTGGTAGCCAGGGAAATAGGTGGTGACAATAGAAAAGATGTACCAGTCGTATTCTTCCATGATGTTGAGCATTACGGAAGCTTGCTGTTCAATTGATGGGCCAAACTGGAAGAACATAGAAGATTCATCCTAGAACAGTAAGGGTGTAAAAAAAAAAAAAAGAAAGAGAGAGAGAAATCAAACCAAAATTGATAGTACAGTTTTTGAATCAGTTGAATATAAAGGTTTGTGTCCATTATTTACCTTTTCATATAAGACCTACAAATATTTTAGTTTTCAATAAAATGCATTTTAAAAACCTGAAATCCAAACATTTATAACTTTCTTTCTAAAGGAATCTCCTAGAATTCAGACAAAATCAACAGAGGTTTATATTCCCCTTGTCTGAGATCCTAGGACAATGCCTTGAAATCAAATATGATACTATGTATACAGAAAAGCGAGTCATATAAAATAGAATCAAGACTCTAACAGGCTCATGCTAGCTCCATATAGGCTTTGTTATCAGAGGAGTGAAACATACGCACATACCCACGCAGACCCACACATGCACATTTTCCATCTTTCAAGAGTTTTGGGATATCTTGATGGCAGATGTGGATCATTCATTACCAGTGTAAATAATCTAAAATGCACCAATCTGTCCTTAGGACTATCTGTGAAGATGGTTTAGGTTTACTGGCCCAGGAAATGGGTGACACTAGGTTTGAACACCAGGAAGTACATGTAAATGTACAGCCATTAATTAATATCACTATTTATTCTGTCACTTTTACTCTGATAATAAGATATGCAAGTTAGAATGAGGCTCAAACAGTATATCTAAGCTACATGTTAAAATTCCTGGTATTTAAGTACATATATGTTTCTTTATTCCAAAGAAACAGAGAGGATTGTTCTTTGTCTTTTGCCCATATAATGTCACAGGTCTTGGATTGGATTGTGCATCACGCATTCACCCTTCTGGTGATTTTGAGCATCTCCTGTTTTTTCCTTCCTGTGAAGGGAGAAGCCATTTAAAGTGCCCCCCCCGCCAATTTTAAGCTGCATTTCACCTGCCATTCTAAAATGTCAAGCCCTGTATTTTATCTCCACCTTATAGCTGCAAGAATCTGAGCTGCAAAATGAACACCCTCTCAGCCTTGTCTTTCTCTCTCAGTCCATTTCCCCCTGATTTCCTCCTGGGTAATGGCATCTCTTTTCTTGATCTGTGCCTACATCTCTTATCCAATGATTCATTTCCATTGTATAACAATCCAAGCTAATAAAATTGTGTCTCTCTCCAAGGGGCAGTTCCTTTTTATCCCTCAGCTAAAGCTCCAAAATACAGTGACAAGAGACCAGGAAACTGGGCATTTAGACAAAATTATATAGTGATTTCTTGGCTTGGGAACATATTGTTGTATAGCTGAGAAATTGCTGAGTATTTCTTGGGCAGCCACTATTCAAGAAAATTACCAGGTGGGAAACATCCAGCAGGTGTGAAAGCCCCTGATTCCGCAAGGCAAGCTGCAGCCCCTTGGCCGTGCCAGAGTTATGTTTGCCTTTATGGTTTGATCATTTCACATTTCAACAGGCTACTAAAGAGTAGATGCACAGTTATTTGGGGTAACTCTTTCTACTAAGGGCAAAGTAGTGCTGGTCCTGGCTCCCTATGGCTAGAACACACAGTTGAAAAGAAGCTTCAAACTATCATGGAATTCAGAAAAGTAGGGAGGCTGGGACCCCAGAATGGGTGGGTAGGGCTGGGGATTTAGCTCAGCGGCAAAAGCGCCTGCCTGGCAAGCGCAAGGTTGTGAGTTCGGTTCCCGGTACCGGAGAAAAACAAACAAACAAACAAAAAAAAGAATGGATGGGTAATGGGAAAGAAATTAATTCATGATAAATTATACCATGTGTGCTCATTCTAAGCCTTGATCAGGATAAACACCTCTTACCAGAAAAAAACCAAAAAAAAAAAAAAAAAAAAAAATCAGCTACCAGAAAAAAACCAAAAAGAAAAAAAAAAAAAAAGGATAAACACCTCTTCACGGACTTCTCCTACAACACAAGAACTGTTCTTCAGACCTGTCTTTATGGTATGGTGGAATTATGATCTAAATTTTTGGGTTTCCACTAAATTTATACGTTGAAATTCTAGCTCTTAAGGTTATGTTGTTAAGCAGTGGTTTTCTATGGGAAGTGATTAGGATATGAAGGTGGAGCCTTCATGAATAGGATTAGTGCCCTTTGCTTAATAATAAAAGGCCCAAAGTGTTGCCTTGACCTCACTACCTTTTGTGGACACAGAAAGGGCCACCTATGAGCCACAGAGTAATCCTTTGCCAGCCACCAAATTCTCTGACACCTTGGTCATAGACTTCCCAACCTCTATAACTGTGAAAAATAAATTTACAATTTTTGTGAGCTACCTAACTTATAGTATTCCATTCAAGCAGCCCAAAAGGACTAAAATAAGTGGGAATATGAGACAATAAAGATTAATTCTTTCAAGAATTATCATGGGCTCATACAGAACCACAGAAACAAGAAAGGAAGTCCAGTGGCAGAACAACTCACTTTGAATAGGTATTGCTTTAAAGAAATATCTATTTGCTTTTCCTGCTATTACTTTTAGCTAAGGGAATTTGGGTCATTCTCCAATGGGAAATATTATCCATGAGTTTCTACAAGGTAAGTGGTTATAGCAAACTACAAAAACTTTCCAATATTCCTTAGAGTATGAATGGAAGTGCTCCCAGTTGCAAAGTCAGCCTACCTGTTCTGTGACAGATGAGCAGGTATTATCACAAGTTTCTTGAATACACATACAGAAACTATCACTGGCTCAAATACAGCAAAAGGATTAGCTGAAACCAATAGGATCTCTAGCAGATACTCTCATAATAATGAGATCAAATTTAAAGAAAGCTAATCTATTGAGTACCAATCTGACTTTCCCCTCTCTTGGTCTTCTCCTAATGCTGTCCTGCATTTACGAATGAACTTGTAAACACATCACCGGCTGTCATGAAAAGTCAATGTACGGTGAGAATAACAAAAGAGAAAATTAATATAGCTCCATCATACCCCCACCACATTCACTTTTTTCTTCTGATTCTATTGTCCTACACAACCTCATCCTGTTTTTGACTCCACTGCCTCCACCAAGGTCCAGCTCAGCCATTTTACCCTGCCAATCCTTCATTAAATAAGGATGCCTTCTATAGTCTTTTCACCTGGCACCAAGAGGAGGTTACTGAAGCCAAATAGAAATCAAGAGACAGAGTTATAGCTTGGGCAAATGTTTCCCAGCATAATTAGTCCAGTGTTATTAATTTAGTTGACACATCAATCTGGTGTATAGGGGTCGGGAATGGAACAGCTCTTTTTCAACAAAGCTTTGGGCAAACTATAAGTTGCAAATGGTGACAGCCTTTGCAAAGTATGGCTGCAGCCACAAATCAAAGTGCAATCTTCATGTGTGCATGGAGTGGAAAGGACTCGTGGCCATACATTCATCTTTGCGGGCACCCAGCATGCATTGTGATCACCCACCAGTGATCAAGGATGAAGGACAGAGACATAATTCTGTCTGCAGCTCACTATGCTTCCTCACTTACATTTTATCTCTTAGTGTCATTGCTAGACATTGATTTGCACAGGTCCTTCGAACAGCCTCCTCTTCCTACTGAAGATTCCCCATCAAGTTTATTGTGTGAATGTAGTTCTACAACTTGCCTCGAGAGAATCTTTGAAGTATTCCTCAATAAGAGGCCACCTTAACTGAGATGAGCAATTAGCACCGGGAAGGTAGAATTGTACATTATGTGCTGTCATTCCACAACCTTTATGTTGTACTTCCATTACTTTGGTGTTTGGTGTTTATTTGCTAATAAGAAGAAACAAAAAGCAGTAGTTTTTCATCCTATTATCTGCCTCAGAAAATAATTGCCTAAAGAATTAGCAGCACATGAAATTTTCTTTTTGCATCATTCAGATCTCCTACCGACTCACTTCTGAAATAAAGAATTAAGTGCACTAGCTACTGAGAATGCCCCTGGCAATAATCTTCAGCTCAGCCCCCCACTTGGGACTGCCAGCTGAAAAGTGCCACTTGCCCAGAGGCATTTCTCCTTCCCGGGGTAAACAAAGGTGATTAACTGGTTGTCAACAGGTGTGTAAAGACCTAGTCTTTCTGCTGTAACCTGGGACAATTCTGAAGGATCAGCTTATCTTCAGAATTTCCCATAAGGTCGGTTGGAGGTTCCATTAAAACTTTATCACCTTGTATTTCTCTCCATGCCCAGTCCTGCCTGATCTTCCTTCTCTTTCAAGGGGTTAATCTCAAGAACAATCCCTCATACATCTACACACTAACCTCACTACTGGAATCAGCTTGCCAAGGAAACTGACTGTATTTAGTCTCCTTTTCTAACATGGAAAAGAGATGGTTTAAAAGAGAACATTATGTCTACTTTCAAATACCAAAATAGCAGAAAGATAAGTCTTTTGCCCATTAGCTCTAGGGGAGAGAAGTAGGACCATGGAGAAGAAATATTGAAAGGCATTATTTGGATCAGTATATAAAATGCATTTGAATGATTACAGCTTTATAAAATAGAATGCACCTCTTAAGATAGTGAGCTCTCTGTCACTACATTCAAATAGAAGCTGCTTATATGACAAAGGATTTTCCCCAATACTCTGGAAAACCCCAGGCTCACCTTGTACTTCAAATATCAGATCTTTGATATATGCCACTTCATCTAATACCTGAGTGAAGGTAGTGCTTTTACAATATTGTGTAAGTGCTTCTACCAGAGCAATTTTTCCATACAATAACATTTGTTTTTGCCCCCTCCCATGAAAAATTTGTTTCTCAAGAACAGTAGCTATACTTTAATCATATTTGGATCCCTCGGTAATGCATGATTTTTTTAAAAAATGTTTATTGTATTAACATTTTAGGAAAGTATCTTTTATTGTGTGGGAAATTAACTGGAATGGCATTGAAGATCTCATCCAGTTACAAATTTCTTAGCAGGTGGTACATATCCACCTTGTGGAAATAAGGTTTGTCAGAAGTTATACATTAGGTACACTTTCATAAAATGTGAGAGGATCCTTGTTGTAACCATCCAGGGTGG